CAGAGTGGGTGAAGGGCGAGAGAGAGCGAGAAAGCGAGTCATTTATTTCATGAAATCATATTTTTTTCATCATCATAATCATAATATCACAGGTATGAAAGGTCATCATTATATCTCACTGCTGTTAAATATCTTCCCCACTGCAGCTGTGTAGTTTATTTTATACAGTATTATAGTATTTATCCATATTTTGATAATGGTGCATGCACTTTTTCAAGTTGATTGTACTGAAATAATGTTTTATAATGATAAAAATCCATCCAGTGTTTTTGTTTTAATCTCTTTATATGTTTTCCTGTCTCAAATCGAGCCGTTTGACCGTGTGACATCACACGGTCGTACGCCCCTCCCACGATTACTGATTGACAGCAGCGTTTCAACACAGACCCGCCCCGAGCGAGCTGTCATCCTAGTTGATACGCTGAAGCAGAATGGCGTCTAGGGGTTGTGGTGTTCTGTTCTTGGGTGTAATAACGAACAGCCATTTTGATGTTTCTAAGGCTATGTTTACACGGAAACGATTCTGAAGAGAAAACGCAAAAGTGCCGTTGAGTCATCACTTTTTATTCTGCGTTTAGACGAGCGTTTTGGGTGGGAAATCCGCGTGCAAATGGTGACGCAAAAGTGTATGAAATTCAATGTAGTATGCACTTCAGGCGGCTGTGAGTGCATACTACAACAACACCAAGCCCGCGCGCCTGCGTACAACCTTCACTGTCAAGCAAACTGATCTCATGAAGTAGCGTGTGTATGATACGCCAATTCGTATTTCCATTTTTGGCGTGCTATCAAGACTCATAATCGCCTTTCAGCGTGTTTATGAACGCCGTTGACTTAACGTTATATAAATATATGACTTACCTCAACTCCGTCCCTAAACCTAACCGTCACTGGGGTTAATTGCATTCATGACTGGAGATTTGACTGTGTGTACAGACACGCGGAATGACGCGGACGTTAATGGCGTAGACATATACGCATACACGCGGATACACGCGGATAGCTCAAAATGCGTAGAGATAACACGCCACCTGACTCGAAAGTGCCGTATATGTTTACGCAAAAGTCATGATGTCATGTTGGTCAAGCAGACTTTTGCGTTTTTACCGTTTACACGGGAACGCGACGGTGGAGCGTTTTTAAGATTTCCACTCTGGAGGGGGGTTTCACTTTTTTGCGTTTTTAAGCCTCAAAAACACCGTCGCCGTGTAAACGAAAGGCACATCCGATAAAATATTTTTACGTTTTCACCCGCCAGCGTTCTCATGTAAACAGCGCCTAAATCCGAACCGCTGAAGACGCAGTGGCTGAGTTTTGTTTTCGAAGTGAATATTCCCCACGATCAATGTCAATACGTTCATGTTTGCGCGAATCGTTTCTCACCGGACTGCTTTATAAACGAGGGTCAGTGTAAAACTGGTTTTGCTAAGAAGCTTCTCCTGAAAAAAGAATCGCTGCACCTCCAGAAGAAGTGAGTGTAAAGTTGTATATTTTATATTAATCTTTAAAATCGCTTGCACGCTTCACGATGAATGCGGCTAATGTTTACGCTCAGGGTAACGTTACATTACGACATGTTTTCTTGGTACGACATTATCAATATAATTCAAAATCCCACGTTTATAATGAACAACGCGTTATGGTTATTATGTTATTACAAACTGGGTACGTATTCATCAGTAAACCAAGTTACTCTACCCTGCCAAGTACACAAAGATAGATCAAAGTGACATTATGTTAACCAACTATTCAGAAACGTCCTGTTTGAGCCTAAATTGTCGAACTTATTTGCTGCCGCCATCTTGTTCCAGTTCCGACTCCGGTACAAACTGATACGGTTGTACAGATGTGTCCTCACCATTCTCTCGACAAAATATACCCTCAACTGTTGTCAAGGTAACACTCCACGTGCGCTGTGGCGAGAGACACGCGTGGTAAAGAGGGGCGGAGTGAGCGAAGCTCATTATCATTTAAAGGCATATGCACTGAAACGGCGCGCTGAAAACAGAGCTGTTTTTGACCAGGTAAAATGACTGTTTTCTTACAGTACTAATGAGAATTTTTAATTAAAGTATATTACAAACTTTTCATTTAGACCCTAAAGAATTATATTAACTTGTATCAAAATGGCATTATATGACCCATACGTTTACCCACCCATAGACCCTCCCCTCGAAGAAATCAGGACCAAAGAGATGGATTAAAACACTAGGTGTAAATGGGAATGCGTCTCTCTCGTCCACTTGTGATCCAATCTACCAAAAAGCATCTTAAACAGGGCCTATAAAATAGTTATGGTGAGCTTTTATTTCATGTGGACTTTAAAATTACACTGTTTGAAAAACATGACTTATAATTCTGAGTAAAACAGGAGTTTCAGTTCAAGAAAATCTAGTATGTCAGCTGAAAAGGGCATTGATTATGAAATCATTTTTGCATTTAAAAACACAAGACAAAGGGAAAACAAATGACTAACTTTGGTCATAAGTCATAAAGCTTAAGTGTCTGAGCTTGAGGAGATCATATTTGTTGGAAGTCTAATACACCCTTTTAAAATAGTCAAACATATTAATTTCTTCAAAGTCACAGAGAGAAAGGTCCTGCAGAGCAGGAAGGACCCTGTGTAAGGTATACGGATGGGGGTTGAGAGCGAGAGAGAGTGTGTGAAAGGCAGATTGGTAGGAACGAGGGAGGACACCCCAGTCCTCTTTCAGAGAGGAAAAGGAGGTCAATGCTCCTCAGCAGGGGCGGGGCTAGCAACCCTTTCAGCCAATCACAGCCTCCCACAGTGACATCATCTCCAAATGAGGTAAACGATCCACTGTTTAATCAGTAAGAGAGACCTAAAAGACACACACACACACACAAAAAGACAGAGAGGAGGAGGAAAACCCCTCTCGAGGACTGTATAAATCTCTCTGACAAGCATTTACCAGACCTAACCTGCTAAAGTCACAAAGTAATAAAACGAGCAGGGTTCTTGCTGCTCCTTATCAGAGTAAATATAAACAGTCCTTAAAGGTAAATGAGTAATAGACGGTAAAGTTAAAGAGTGCCTACAGCGCCCTACAAGAGGAAATGTGATGTATATATTTCATCATACTGTATGTGGCTGAATAAATATGCTGGATGTTCGAAAAAAAACAATTTTAAGTGGAATAAAAAGTGAACTCCTTTGCATTCATTGTGTTCCTGTCCCAGTCTCAGGCTCAGCCGAGCATATTGTATTGATTATAATATTCACAATAATATTAGGCACATG